GGCACGCACATTTTCTCCGACTCTTACCAACTAGTCTAAGTTTGATTTTTATTATATTGATATAGATTTGGACATTGATGGTTATAGTAAATATAGCTTTTAAATCGGACTAAACGTTTTTATTTTATAGGATTTGATGAGACAAACATGGCGGCCACAGTGTGGTTATGAGAATACACGCCTCGAATATTGTATAGACATATATCAAAATGTTTAAAAATTTAGTTTAGCGGGTAATGCACAACCCTAAATGTGTGAATCTAGCAATCGGATACAGTATCAAAGTATCTTTATTTAATTGCCACTAGTGTGTACAACTGACGAGTTAGGGAAATTCCGAGCATGTCAGCTTGGTCACTTTCAAAATAGGTTCAGTCAAAAGGGCATTTTCTACAATAAAAAAATCAAAATTCAATCTATCTCCCTACAATAGCATCTTCCTCCGCATAAATTCATCAATATTTCCTGCCCCTGCCTACTGTTTCAGCACGTTTTAGTTTTAAAAGCGCCAGTGGGAATCGCAAGATCGATATTTTTACAAATAAATATATATATATTTATATATATATATAAATATCGAGATATGGTGGGTGAGCTATGGTGAGATGGGGCGACATGATACAAAATCAAATATAGTGTGCGCACGTGTGTTTTGTGTGTGTATGTGGGGGGGGGGGAGTTAGACTTAAACCAAAGACATAGACTGACGTCAGGCTGTTACGTCAGAATACAGGACACTGACCGAGACAAGTGACTTAGGCGAGGGAACACCACCCATTAAGAAGCTGCTGTGCAAAATATCTGTAAAATGGAGAGATTGGAAATACTTTTGTTTCGTGAGAGCCTTGACCTCCTTCATATGTCACATCGAAAAAAAAAACCCAACAACGTAACAATCAGTTAAAAGATATTTTATAGCTTGCTATACATTAAAAACTAACATTTTTAGAACATGTGAGATTCAGAGGCGGCAAAATCATCGTATTTTTGTGGTGTACATTCAAAGGAAACTATTAAATTGCTACTTACAGTTGTGTTATAACAAAATATATTTCATGATTTACAGCGCTGTTAGCATTATGCTGGGTGGGCGAGTGGTCTCAACAGATCTCAAGTTGCTGGTCTGGAGTTTAATTCCAGCCAAAGCCCAGTTCAGCAAAAACACCGCCAGCAACCCGGGTGGATGGGACTCGTTAACCTGGGATGGCCACCCATCTAAGAGAAGGAAACTCTGAAATCAAACCCGGGGATGGAGTCCCGAAAGGCGGATAACATTGTTACAATGAAACATTCCGACAACTCCTGCGACGCCCCTGGTGCCAAGCAGTATCATCTAAATGATGTCCCCTTTGGGTTATCCAGCGGCGTGGAGAGAGGCGATTTGCTGTTGGGAACCAACTTATATGCCTTGAATAATATTCCCGGGCCTTGTAGATTTCGTCCTCCGAAGCCCCCACCATTGTCACATTGTGACGGATGGACGCCAGTAAAAAAACACAAAACAAATTATGTCTCATTTTAATATGTAAGTTATGTCTGATTTTATTATTCAAGTTACATCTGCTTTTAATATACATGTTTGGTCTTATTTTATCATACAAAATCTGTCTATTTTTATCATACAAGTTATGTCTGATTTTATTATACAAGTTATGTCTGAATTTATTATACAAGTTATGTCTGATTTTATTATACAAGTTATGTCTGAATTTATTATACAAGTTATGTCTGAATTTATTATACAAGTTATGTCTGAATTTATTATACAAGTTATGTCTGAATTTATTATACAAGTTATGTCTAAATTTATTATACAAGTTATGTCTGAATTTATTATACAAGTTATGTCTGAATTTATTATACAAGTTCTGTCTGAATTTATTATACAAGTTATGTCTGAATTTATTATACAAGTTATGTATGAATTTATTATACAAGTTATGTCTGAATTTATTATACAAGCTATGTATGAATTTATTATACAAGTTATGTCTGAATTTATTATACAAGCTATGTCTGAATTTATTATACAAGTTATGTCTGAATTTATTATACAAGTTATGTCTGAATTTATTATACAAGTTATGTCTGAATTAACTACAAAAGTTATGTATAAATGTATTATACAAGTTGTGTCTGATTTGAATATGCTACTATGTCTGATTTCATTATACGGTTATATCTTTTCTTTACCTCAGAAAGTAAACATTCATCGATTAGTACGTGAAGAATTTTTTAAAATCTTCAGCCATCTTTTGTAATAGACAACATTTGTGGTTTCCATGGAGACAAGTCCGACACTGATCTATTCTTCATGGAAAATTTTAACCAGGAAATCAATTCACTTTAAAATATTACACAGATGTATAGAAATCTGTTCGGATTTTGTGAATCTTACCGAAATTTAAAAAAAAAATTAAAATAATAAACATGAAAGGGGATATAAGTAGTTATTTAAGTACACTACATTATTATCACTGGTTAACGGCCTTTAATTTACGACGCTAAACATCGGAAACACCTAATATCCTAAAATCATCACACTTAAAAAATTCCACCAGCAAAGAACTGTTTCTACTAACTGCAATAGACAAGGGCTGCTCCTGGGTCATGCGAACGGTGGAGTGGGGTAATGGGGGGTGGGACACTCCCCCTTAGTGTCAACAATAGGTAGGTTATTTGACAAAACATGAACTCAAGTAACGCACATTTAAGAATTCCAATTTTAGCTTCACCCCGTACAGCCCCTATGATGCGTCACTGCACACTTTTTATTTCACGCCCATGAACTCTATTATTTTTCAGATGTCTCAAACACTTTTAAACTAATATTTAGTATACCATATTTGATTTGAGACGATTTCATTTTCCAAACAAAGAAAATATTACGCACCAAACGCAGTTGCGCTATTTACAAAAATAATCTCATTCAGCGTAGTTATCGGAAAAAAATATTTCAGAAAATGGAATCAGTCACACCACAAGCAAAAAATATATATATATAAGAAATCCTTGTGGCACTTTCTTTCTATATATTGATTGCGCAATGGAATTATCGTGGCGTGACTCTGGTTTGATAACGATTCCCTTAAAATTTTAAGATGTACGATGCCACACTATTTATTGGAAAAACGTGTGCTCCCATTACTGCGATTCAATTGGAGAAGATCGTGCTTTTAAATCAATCCAGTTTTGAATCAGACACACATTGGGATAATTGAAAAAAAAAAAGAAAATGAAAGACCTAGTTAATTGTTGAGTTTTTCCTTGACTTAAGACTTTCTATAAAGCGTCACTGCGACAGTCATGAAAGGCTCTCAAACTGTATACAAACTTTGCCAGCGTTTTTTTGTTGTTGTTGTTGTTGTTGCACAAAGATAAATATTGCACGATTTTAAAAAAAAAGATGTATAGATTCAATGAAACAATAGTTGCTATCTCATCGACGAATCTTTGGGAAAAACGGGGGGGGGGGGCATAAATTTGGATTATTAAAAAGTGCGTTACTTATTTGAATGTTTTGTTAAATTTCCCTTCCCTCATTGCTCGATATTACATTTTATGAAGGATGTATACGAAAAACTTAAGATTTTAAAGGTTTACTCTATTCTCAATTATATGTTACGGATCTACTGAAAGCTAATCTATTAATAGTCTTGTACTTTCCCGGATATTCCCAAATATTCTTGCGTATTATAATTATAACTAATTGTAATATAATGGCAAAAGTTGCTTTTTTAAATTCTTTATTTGAACAACTTTTTATATATAAATTTTTTATTTTTTATTTTTACGAAATACGAAAACATACGTATTCTTAACCTAGATGTAAAACCCCAGGGGGGGGGGGTTGGGGGGGCACGTCACAGTTTTCTTTGAGCCGCGCTTAATTATAGTTCCGGTTTAACAACCGGCTTGAAAGAAACACTGGCCAGAGAAATAAAACTTGATTTGACCTCACACACGTATAATCACCTGGAAAATATACCCTACGCTTCTCATTCTACTTTATTCTTTTTAATTGAGAGTTGTTGCTGAAGAAAACAAGGTCAAACTATACGTTTTGAGAACACCTTGATTATTGAGACTGCAGGGAGTATGTAATCCCAGGGGGACGTCACTGAAACTAAATTGACAGCCGCGTAAATATCCATTATCCTGCGTCGAGAAGAAAATATGTACGTAGACGAAATAACATGGTGCCTTTTAAAACGATTTGTTAGAGAAAATTTAAAAATAATTACAGATATAGAAAACTCAAATATGTGAAAACGAAAAAAAACACACAAATCTTTATCTGTCTTGTATTGCTTGAATGTTTACATTTTTTTTTTTTTTTTTTTTTGGTTCTGAATTATAATTTTACGCTTAATGTTTGTTTGACTTAAACTTAAATGTTATCAATTTATGGCTTTTAGTTAAAGATATAGAAAACTCAAATATGTGAAAACGAAAAAAAACACACAAATCTTTATCTGTCTTGTATTGCTTGAATGTTTACATTTTTTTTTTTTTTTTTTTTTGGTGCTGAATTATAATTGTACGCTTAATGTTTGTTTGACTTAAACTTAAATGTTATCAATTTATGGCTTCTAGTTAAAGTTATTAGATGGTATGAAATATTTGATATCGTATTTAGGAATATAAAAATTAAAAAAACCAGGATGGAATAAAATTAAAATCATGTGAACATGGCTAAGGTACTTCTAGTTGTAAAAAGTTGTCAAGTCAAATTTGTATTACTCATCCAAACCATCATTGTGAAGATAATAATATTTCGGAAAACAGAGACGATTTCTAACAGAGTTTTTTGAGATTAGCTACTAACCTCAAACAGCTGTTTAATGCAAATGGCATTTTGTTTCTTCAAACCTGAGTCCGGTTGAAGATATATTTAAACAGACTGTAATGGAGTCACTTCAAACCTGAGTCCGGTTGAAGATATATTTTAACAGACTGTAATGGAGTCACCCGGAATAAACGAATCAGACGTGATTACGAACATACGTATTTCCGACGAGATCAAGGACGTCATTTTGACGGTCAACTACGTCGCGGTATGCGGTGTGATCAGCCTGGTTGGAATCACCGCCAACGTCCTGAATATGATCGTGTTCGCCAGGCTCGGCCTGAACGACGCCATCAACGTGAGCCTCCTCGGACTGGCCGCCGGGGACATCTGCTCCCTGGTGGCCATGTTCGGGGACAGCGTGTGTTTCAACCCGGCGTTTCAAAGCACGGGGCTCCCCGTTGTTCTGAGCGAGGTCCAGTACGTGGTCAGCGGCTGGCCGCAGGTCTGCTTCATCCGCGTGACCAGCTGGATCACGGCGTTCGTCAGCCTCGAGCGATGTCTGTGCGTGACCATCCCGTTTCAGATCAAGACGGTCGTGACGAGGAGATGTGCCAAACTGTTCGTGGCGACCACTTTCATGTTCGTGGCTGTGACGTCTCTGCCCGAGTACTTCTACAATCAGATTCAGTGGAAGTTCTACCCGGAAAGAAACCGGACGTTGCTGGGAATCGTTCCCGTGATGCGCTTCGAGGAACTGGCCGGCGTGACGTATTTCATCAACCAGGTCGTCCTGCAATGCGTCGCCTTCGCGGTGATAGCCGTCTGCACGTGTCTCATGATCGTGGCGCTCAACAACACCACGAGATGGCGGCAGGAATCCGCCAAGGGAAATAGCTGTGATATATCCAGGAAAGACAAGAGGATGGTTAAGATGGTCAGCCTTCTCTCCACCTGGTTCATCGTCGCCTACACGCCGGCCAGCGTCCTGTTCATCGTCATGGTCTTCAAGCCGACGTTCCACCCGAGCTTCAACTACAATCTGTTTCACATCACCTGGTCTGTATCCTACCTGCTTGAGGGCTGCAACGCTTCATTTAACATTCTGATCTACCTGAAGATGAGCACCAGGTACAAATCGATGTTCGCGAAAACATTTTTGGAAGGTTGTTGTAATAAAGGCCAACAGACTTAGTTTTTAAATTTTTTAATACACTTTTTCCCATAGCATTATACACTAAAATAATGAGAACCATTGGTCTAAACTGTGTCTTTCCTAGATTTTCAGAAAAGAAAACGAAGATAATGTAGGTCTATTTTCCATGTATGTGTAAGTTTCTTTAAATGCACAATCATTCGAATGCCTATAATCAAAATGACTATGTCTAGTAAACCTACTCTTGGATTGATGGTAATTTTTATGATTCTATTTATTGTTGAACAAATGAGTTATGCATTGCTGCTTAAGTCTTAAACCCTGAAATGAACACTAAAACATGCTGTGGTAGTATAGGTGCCCCATTCGGAGGTATTTGCTTTCACACAGCGTCGACGTTGGAAACATAAAAACATTTGAGAACAGTTTGGGAAAATCGACATCCAGAGCCATATTCATTTTGAAAGAGCAGGCACTTAATCTAAATGGGCGTTCAACAACAACGCCGTGCGTCCTCACGTAGGGCCTCTGTAGCGCATCCATCATCTGGCTAATGATGTGTAAGTTGTGCCTCGGTGAATTCCCAAGGGAACACAAGTAAACACTCGCGCTCGCTCACTAAACCTGTTTACCTCCCATACACTTTCCTTGGTCCAACCGGCTCTCCAAATCCAGGCATTTCCGATGGCCCAAAATGCGTTTTTTTTCCAACCCTAAAGAATCTCAGGAACACATTATATCAAACAAATTTCACAACATCCTTCACAGTTACCGACATCAAACAATAGTTATAATGACCTGTTGTAGTAAAAATATTTCTAAATAAACACATGGGATTTGTTTATTGTAACCCCACGGCAGAAGACGGGCGCTATGTCTAATCAACACATGGGATTTGTTTATTGTCACCTCACGGCAGAAGACGGGCGCTATGTCTAATCAACACATGGGATTTGTTTATTGTAACCCCACGGCAGAAGACGGGCGCTATGTCTAATCAACACATGGGATTTGTTTATTGTCACCTCACGGCAAAGTTTGACCGGTAACAGTTTTTTTAAAGGAATTGGGGGGGGGGGAGAGAGGGGGGAGTCCGATACCATGTCAATCGCCCTCAACATTAGTTTGGTAACCTGAAGAAAAAAAAATTCCCCCCAGCCCCAGGTACTCGTCGAAATAACAACTGAATGGATTTCAAAAAGAACCCAGCTCCCTTTGTGACACACCCTTGCCCAAAAAGGGGGGGGGGGGAGAGAGAGGGGGGAGTCCGATACCATGTCAATCGCCCTCAACATTAGTTTGGTAACCTGAAGAAAAAAAAATTCCCCCCAGCCCCAGGTACTCGTCGAAATAACAACTGCATGGATTTCAAAAAGAACCCAGCTCTCTTTGTGACACACCCTTGCCCAAAAGACACGACCAATGTACTTTTACTGTTAATCTTGACCTCGCATCTCATGTAAACTTTTTAAGCGGTCTGCACGTGGCAAGCAGAGTGAAGCTCTCTGAACCTGGCAAACAGAGGGTAACTCTTTGTACCTGGCAAGAGACGCTAACGGCAACCGACAAACAGGATGAGGTTGACGGGACCTGGCAAGAACAGTGAAGCTGGCTGGCTGGACCTGTCAAGAAGAGTGAAGCTGGCTGGACCTGTCAAGAAGAGTGAAGCTGGCTGGACCTGTCAAGAAGAGTGAAGCTTGCTGGACCTGTCAAGAAGAGTGAAGCTGGCTGGACATGGCAAGAAGAGTGAAGCTGGCTGGACCTGTCAAGAAGAGTGAAGCTGGCTGGTCATGGCAAGAAGAGTGAAGCTGGCTGGCTGGTCCTGTCAAGAAGAGTGAAGCTGGGTGGACCTGGCAAGAAGAGTGAAGCTGGCTGGACCTGGCAAGAAGAGTGAAGCTGGCTGCACCTGGCAGAGGAACCAAACTTAGCCTCTTTTTTTTTTCCTTCTTACAGCTCACAATTTTGTAATTTGAATCATCTTAATTAAGTGAATGGCTGCCATATTCCCGTTATTTATCCAAGACCTGGCATCTACTCATCTGTTGACCTGTAGCTGCCACACGGCACGCCAACAGACGCAGAATTATGGTGCCAGGGATAAGCATGGCCTATCACCTTCGGTATTGACAACACCTCTTCTACAATTTTATGAAATAAAGTTATCTTGAAATTCTTAAGGAAATAAATAAATAATCATTAGGACAAGGCAAGTTTCTGAATGTATTATTTTACCTACATTACGTGAACAACAAAAGCCACACTCTATGCTATCACTCAAGCCGCCCCTTAGATGTTTTTACCCTTGACGTATAAAGTCTCTCACCCCATTTCTATTCCGGTTAGTGGCGTATCTAGGGTTGGTACAGTCTGTGGAGGGGCCACGATTTTCGATGCCCTTTCCATGAACAAAACAACAACTCGGCATTTGGCCAAAAATGCCGCCCCTTCATAAAAAGGAAAATTGCCGTGAAGGGCAAATCATAACCTCCTTACTCTCATTCTACGCCACTGATCCCAGTGGTCCCTTCTTTTTTTTTTAAACAACTCACACAAAATAACATTAAAATAAAACGCATCAAATCTACTAAACAAATAATATATGTTAATGAGTTGTTGGTGTTTTGTGCGTGCGTGTTTGGTGTGAGAATATTTGTGTAGCAGTTTCGATGCGCTTGGGTTTTCATGACGTATTTGGGTCTGGGAAATGACGCTGTGAATATGTTATGGGTTAGGAAAGCAGTAATTGAGTTAAATAGAGTGATTCTTAATGGAGTGTTAGAATTACGGAGTTGATGTTTTTTTAAATAAAGAGACTTTTGACATCAATTAATGGTTTGTTAAGTCATTGAATTAGCCCCTTAGACAGCTAAGTTATTGATTTGTGGTAATAGCGAGATGGTAACACTGGAGTTTGTGATTTATTTTGTGCTTGCAAACCCTAGACAACGGGTGTTCCACTGGCCTCAGCAAACGTGCCTACTGCGGGAGTTGCTCATGTGAAAAGAACGATGATTGCTAAGGTTATATTTTTAGTGTTATAAGAAATAATGACGGCGAATTCTACAGAATAATTAAAGGTTATATGATTTATATAAGGTAAATTTAATTTATACTCATATGAATGTATTTTGCTGTACCGATGAAGGCATTTTCCGAAACGTTTACAAAACTTGTACTCTGTGTGACCATAATGGGAGTCGCTTAGTCGATTGTTTTGTCACGTGATGAGAGTAAATACGAGTAAGACTTCCGGGAGGCTGTATGCAACACACTAGTGCTTGACAACAGTAGCCCGTTACACACTACAACTAGTAATTCAAGATGCCTAGGCAATGTTCGGCTTTTGGCTGTTCAAACAGTCAAGTTGAGGACAGCGGTATACGTCTGCATAAGTTTCCGCTTAAGGATAAAGAAAATTTAAGTCATGTGTATGCCGAATTCGTCCAATAAAAATTAACAATAAAATATACAAAGGGGAATGACTCCTACACAAATATTGAATAAACACGCAAATAACGTCATGGGCACGGAGCTAAACAACAGCCCGCCGATGATAGTTCCCATCGATTATCGCTCACAAATTTTTCTTGAAATAGCTTTCTTCCTCTAATAATAACTGACGTATATTAAATTTTATTGCAACATTTTTGTATTTCATTTAAAAAACACGTGTATTCCAGAATATTTTGAAAGGTAAAAGTTTTAAGTAACATGACATTGGGGAAGCACTGATGAAGACGAACATTTTTCTTAAAAATTAATGGCAGATCAGCTGTTATTTTTTGTTGTGTGTAGCAGCCTAGTGATGGCTTACTCACATCACGTGGCCAAACAATAAAGTGACTAAGCGACTCCCATTAAGGCCGAAAATATTTTGTTTTATTTACACCAATTCTTTGTGTCTCATTAATCTTGTACGGAAAGGTTTTAAAATGTTAAAAAAAATAAGTTTCATGCTTTCACGAAGCGACGATGTTGTCTACCTGTATTACTCACAACGATCAAGCTTAAAATTGTCTGCCCGAGTCTAAAAACTCTGCCCTTGAACAGTCGAGTTTTGTTGATACATTAAATTGCAGGGCAATTAATTCCAATTTGCTTGACTGCATCAATGGTGAACCTCCATTTTTGTGTGTGTGTATATTTTTAGAGCCTCGTTGAAAGACAGGCACCTAAAAAAAAAAATACCACGTCTACAAATTTTTCTCACGTAGGTCCGATTAGAGTGCTATAATTTCATCTCCGCCATGTCGTTCATCATTATCTTCATATTCGATCCTATGATCTTTCAACCTGCACTCATGAACACCTTCGTGGCATGTCAGTCAATGAATGTTAAACATTTCATTCTCCATTTACCTTATCCCTTGATGACCACATTATGGTGCGAATTAGAAATACAGCGTGGCAGGTGTTACGAAAAGGGGATTCAAATTATTGGAATATATATACCAAAAAAAAATTAAAAAGAAAAAAAATAAATATATATATATATATATATGTGTGTGTGTGTGTGTGTGTATGTGTATGTTTTACACAGCTGTTTTTAAATGAAATATATGTTTGTAATTTTCTTCTTTTAAAGTCGTGATTATGTTTGCCAATATATTTTTTTGTTTGCAGCGCGTTGTGCCTAGCCCAATGCTGGGATACCGCGCTATATACGACAAACGTAATAATAATAATGCTATTAATTGTTATATCTTTGGGTACGACCCAATCAACGAATCCACTAAACTCGTTCGAAACAACATTAACCACCACACGATTTACGAAATGTGCGAAAGTGACTATAATTTGTTTTTAAAGAAGTAAAAAAAACCCTTACAGTCACCTGAATCCCAACGCTATTCGCACGGAATGTTGTCCAAGCGCCACATTAACCTCGCTAATCACCCGATCCGATTTAATGGACAACCACTTATAACGCAACGGCGAGCTATGGCTGCACATTTTCATGCATGGATTTCTTAATTTCTTTTCAATTATTTGTTTTTGGGTTACGAGAATACTCGCTCATTGTGATCAAGAATCCTTAAGAGTTCAATGCGAGACGAAGTTCTGACCTGTCGCTGGGATAATTGTTTCAGACATGTCTCCAATTATCCATTGATCGACTAAAACAACCTCGCAATTATCAATTTTTTTTTTTAAATCATTAAAATGGCGTGAAGTATGAAGCTCTGGAAAATTCGTTTCAGTATTATTATTATGTTTTTTTTTAATATTTAAAAAAAAAAATGAAAATGTTTGTTACAATTTCGAGGTATTTTAAACTTAACCGTTTGTTTATTGTTACATTTTGTTACAGTTCGTAAACCAGCCCAAAAAATCAGATTGAGTTATTAAATCGATATGTTGAGGAAGGTTATTGGGTACACAAATGTGGGTGTTGTGGCGGGGTTGGGGGGTGGGGCTGGGTCTTAGTTTGAATTTGGGTTTGAGATGATATTAAAAAAAAGGAGGATAGAAGATGGTAGAGGAAGGGGAGGGGGAAAAAATCCTCTAGACATCATGGGGGAGTTTCACAAAAGACAATAGACTACGCTGGAATTGAGTCCCCCCTCCCCCCCACTCCCCACCCCTATTTACGCTGTGTCATTCAGACATTTGCCCTTGTTTTTTTTTCCTTCCCAAATTGGCCATTATCTAAAACAGACTTAGATGAATTTAAAATAATAATAAAAATTAAAAGTATAATCATAATAATAATAATATGCAGTATTTAATCATTAAAATAGAATATATTGCAATTATAATTAAGTGTCTATTCAAACAGAAAGCAAGATGCGTTTTTACTTAAGTAACAGTACGTTTTTACTTAAGTAACAGTACGTTTTTACGTAAGGATTTAAATAATGGGCGAGTGAAAGGGACTTGGTTCGTCGAAAGAGTTGGTAGACCAGCCAACGAATTTCTTTCTTCGCCTCAGGGCGTAGAACTCACGCTACGCCACGCCAAGAACCCACACTACACCACTGCCTCCAACCCACGCTACGTCATTGCCTAGAACCCTTGCTACTCAACATGGCCTCAAACCCCCGCTACGCCACTGTCTAGAACCCTTGCTACTCAACATGGCCTCAAACCCACGCTACGCCACTGTCTAGAACCCTTGCTACTCAACATGGCCTCAAACCCACGCTACGCCACTGTCTAGAACCCTTGCTACTCAACATGGCCTCAAACCCCCGCTACGCCACTGTCTAGAACCCTTGCTACTCAACATGGCCTCAAACCCCCGCTACGCCACTGTCTAGAACCCTTGCTACTCAACATGGCCTCAAACCCACGCTACGCCACTGTCTAGAACCCTTGCTACTCAACATGGCCTCAAACCCACGCTACGCCACTGTCTAGAACCCTTGCTACTCAACATGGCCTCAAACCCACGCTACGCCACTGTCTAGAACCCTTGCTACTCAACATGGCCTCAAACCCACGCTACGCCACTGTCTAGAACCCTTGCTACTCAACATGGCCTCAAACCCACGCTACGCCACTGTCTAGAACCCTTGCTACTCAACATGGCCTCAAACCCACGCTACGCCACTGTCTAGAACCCTTGCTACTCAACATGGCCTCAAACCCACGCTACGCCACTGTCTAGAACCCTTGCTACTCAACATGGCCTCAAACCCACGCTACGCCACTGTCTAGAACCCTTGCTACTCAACATGGCCTCAAACCCACGCTACGCCACTGTCTAGAACCCTTGCTACTCAACATGGCCTCAAACCCACGCTACGCCACTGTCTAGAACCCTTGCTACTCAACATGGCCTCAAACCCACGCTACGCCACTGTCTAGAACCCTTGCTACTCAACATGGCCTCAAACCCACGCTACGCCACTGTCTAGAACCCTTGCTACTCAACATGGCCTCAAACCCACGCTACGCCACTGTCTAGAACCATTGCTACTCAACATGGCCTCAAACCCACGCTACGCCACTGTCTAGAACCCTTGCTACTCAACATGGCCTCAAACCCCCGCTACGCCACTGTCTAGAACCATTGCTACTCAACATGGCCTCAAACCCACGCTACGCCACTGTCTAGAACCCTTGCTACTCAACATGGCCTCAAACCCCCGCTACGCCACTGTCTAGAACCATTGCTACTCAACATGGCCTCAAACCCACGCTACGCCACTGTCTAGAACCATTGCTACTCAACATGGCCTCAAACCCACGCTACGCCACTGTGTAGAACCCTTGCTACTCAACATGGCCTCAAACCCACGCTACGCCACTGTCTAGAACCATTGCTACTCAACATGGCCTCAAACCCCCGCTACGCCACTGTCTAGAACCCTTGCTACTCAACATGGCCTCAAACCCACGCTACGCCACTGTCTAGAACCATTGCTACTCAACATGGCCTCAAACCCACGCTACGCTACTGCGTGCTTTAAGTTATTTTTTTTTTAAAATGTATTCGATATGCGTTTAAAATTCCTTTGTGCGACGCCATTATGCAAATACGGCGTACGTGCGATGCATCATTATAGCTCCACCCCAATTCAATCAAGTGTGAAAAGGTCAAATTAAACAGCTTTTGAAGTCGGACCGAGTACAAAAAATATCAATGGCGTCCAATGTTGGTACTTTGACTATACGCGTAAAATAAATCGATTTCGAGCAGTCATGTGTGACGGCTAGACTTGTTGAAATGTCATTCTGACACGTGACTACCCTTGGCCCGGCGTTGTGCTTATAAAAAGCGCTCTAGAAATAAGTCACCTATTTTTTGGATAGGAGATCACTTGGAATTATTAGCAGATTGTTACAGTTTCCTTGCTTGGCTATAAATTTACTAAATATTTTCATAACTCTACTGTATAAGATTTCACTCTTTACTGTTTAACATAAATTTGGTCGTAAGCAAGCAAGAGGGGTTGTCATGTCTAAGACCGGAAGACTCGTCACATAGCAACATGTAATGTTACTATTTTTAGACAATATTTTCGTAAATCATGTCTCCTAACAATGCATTTTAGAATATACATAGCAGTAACAACTTGTGTATGGAATCTTTCGTCAAACAACTTTGTAAACACGTTTTCGTCTAGGTTAAGACCCACTATGCTGGCTCACATAAACGTAGAGGCATCGAAAAGCTGTTGAGAGATTGGTCAAACGAAATACCAGGATGTTTTACTAATGTCTTTATGAGATTGGCCAAACTGTACGCCCGGATGTTCTATTAATAGATTTCCGCCGTTAAATGATAAACTGATAAACCCTATTCCAAAAAGACTTGTTTCAGTTGCTCGTCACCAATATTTTGTGCTTATTACAAATTCATCTAGGTCTGGACTAGGTAATCACGTGAAACACATGTATTTCTCACCACCAAGTTAAATTCGTTAATACACATTTATAAATTACGCATTTGTCACCAGAAGAAAACCTTACTGAAGTTCACCTCCACATTTTTAACCTACAAACCATGTATTTGTCTACAACCACTGCCTCGTCTACAAACCTCCATGACGACAAACTGCAGCCAATTAAAATTGTCGTCACCAAGCCAAACAGCGACTACCAGCATCTGGACGATCTGATCAGCGACTCTCTTAAGGACACCATCCTTGACGTGACGTACGTCTCGATCTGCGGCTTCCTCAGCGTTGCCGGGCTCGTCGCGAACACCCTCAACATCATCGTCTTCATCCGCATGGGACTCAACGACGCGGTCAACGTCAGCCTGCTGGGCCTCGCCGTCAGCGACATCTTCTCGATGACATTCCTCCTGCTGGAGAGCACCTGCTTCAACCCGCTGTTCCAGAACGTCGGTCTGCCATTCGCCTTGATGGAGGTGCAGTTCATCGTCGGCGGCTGGCCGCACATCTGCTTCACGCGGGTCGTCAGCTGGATCACCGCGTTCGTCACCTTCGAGCGCTGCGTTTGCATCGCCCTGCCGCTGAAGGTCAAGAGCATCATCACGGCGACCAGGGCCAAGGTGGTCGTCGTGATGAGTTTTCTTCTGGTGGCCGGCTCGGCGGCCCCGGAGTTCTACGTGAACCAGTTCGTGTGGAAGTTTTACCCGGAGAAAAACGTCTCGCTGATCGGGCTTCACTTCATCGAGGACCGGGACCGGTTCGAGAACGTGACGTTCGTTCTGAACAACGTGCTGATGCAGTACCTGGCGTTCGTGGCGGTCATCATCTGCACGATAATACTCGTGGTCAAGCTAAACGAAAAAACGAGATGGCGCAGCGCGACCGCCAGGGGAGATAACACCGCGGCGATATCCGTCAAGGACAAGAAAGTCGTCAAGATGATCAGTTTTATCTCGGCTATATTTATCGCGAGCTATCTCCCCTCGAGCATCTTGTTCATGGCCATGGCCATCAAGCGGGATTTTCACCCTTCCGGCTACTTCAACATCTTCCACGTGACCTGGTCACTTGCGTTCATGCTGGAGGGAATCAACTCCACAGTCAACATATTTGTGTATTATAAGATGAGCTCCAAGTACCACCGGATGTTTCACAGAACGTTCCTATGTCGCGTCCTTGAATGACTAATTTAACCATGTTATGCATGACCGTTTGGCCTGTCAGATCATGGAATGAACTGGTTAAACAATGTTATACATGACCGTTGGGCCTGTCAGATCATGGAATGAACTGGTTAAACAATGTTATACATGACCGTTGGGCCTGTCAGATCATGGCATGAACTGGTTAAACAATGTTATACATGACCGTTGGGCCTGTCAGATCATGGCATGAACTGGTTAAACAATGTTATACATGACCGTTGGGCCTGTCAGATCATGGAATGAACTGGTTAAACAATGTTATACATGACCGTTGGGCCTGTCAGATCATGGAATGAACTGGTTAAACAATGTTATACATGACCGTTTGGCCTGTCAGATCATGGAATGAACTGGTTAAACAATGTTATACATGACCGTTGGGCCTGTCAGATCATGGCATGAACTGGTTAAACAATGTTTGGGGTCCATGGTTGATATTTCTCTTAGCGTTACGTCAACGTCGGCAAGGTAAATAGTGTTTTTTTTCCTCACGTGAAACACGGTGATTGCACATTTATAAATGTACCTGAAGACACCGCAAAAAATTGTACCGTTCTACCGGACAAATCTATCTCGGAGAAACTGGTGTCTAGTAGCGTCGAGCAATCTACTTGGTGTCTTGACCCAGGTCGACTGATGTAACACACAAAGAAATTCCTTTTTTTTTTACAATCTCAGAATAATTTGCCATATTGAAAAAAAAATATTGAAAAAAAAACACATTATTATTGTAGTTGATATTTTAATACAAAGAGGTATGTCAAGATAAAAACATATTGTTGCTGTATCGCATATCCCCAGTCATTACAAAAGTATAAGATTTGCATAAAGACTTGGACATATTTATAAATGTATGCTTTGGCATTCTGGTTTTTAACTTTTAAATATCCATCTAATTACGCAACTAATGCACAATTAACTGTTTTACACTTCATAATACTGTTTAATTAGTGGCTGAAAGCCCATTAAGTATTTCTTCTGCTTTATTATGAACAAGAGCGAAATTGTGTATTTTAAATCTTGTTACAAAAATACGATAGCATAAGCTCCTTTTAATGATACAAATAAATAAAAATTTGTGTCGAATACATTACACATATTGTTTTCAGTGTTGAAAGTCTTACGTTTTTCGTTTTCCCGTTAAATAGGTCGGTTGGCGAGAAGGCCTTCAGTGAATCATGATGTGGTCAAAAAAGGTTAGGTTTGTGCACTCACGTTGGCGTTTTGAACAGTCTCTTGGCTTTGTTGTTGCTGTTGTTGCTGCTGTTGTTGTTGCTGTTGTTGTTGCTGTTGTTGTTGCTGTTGTTGCTGCTGTTGTTGTTGCTGCTGTTGTTGTTGTTTTTGCAATTATTATTGTTGTTGATGTTGTTGTTGTTGCTGTTGTTGTTGCTGTTGTTGTTGCTGTTGTTACTGTTGCTGTTGCTGTTGTTCCAATGGAGTTATCTTCTAAGCGTTCCTTTGATTCCTTTGTTTTACAAGTTGACGGAAAATCAAGTACTATAGTGCACCAGCTATCAACCTCAACTTCACTACTTAAATCTATCTCATAAGACATCACTAATACGCACTCATACTAACTGCAACGTTAAAAATAACATTATTTTTGTTCAAGAAGTAGGGTATGGTGTGCAACTGGTTAAGTTTATCGATTATCTACTTCTAAGGTTTAGCTGAGGAAACTAGGAGTTGCGATAATTGGCATGGGATATAATTAAAAGGTTAGTTTTAGAAAAACTAAACAGAAACCTTTGTTGCCTTTGGTGCCGTTCCATTGACTGAAGACAACTGACTGATCTACTGTCAGTTCTACTGACTAGTATCCGACACGCATATTCAGTTTAAAAACCTTTTCTGAGAGTACCCTCTAATCAGAAGAGCATTCTTGTTGATGGTGTGCGTATTTTCAAAATCAATATAATTGGTAGTTCCATTGACGTGTTTCAAAGCTGAGTTGTTTGATAAGGAAGTGGCCACGGGAATTTAGCATTGTAACTGTATTTCAATCATTCAATAAAAAATATAATAATAGTCCGAGTCATGTTCTTTGCTCCTATACTAAAGTCCGTGTGATTAAAAATACAATAAATGATTGATCGACTGGATAAATTCTTTTTTTCTTTAACTCCACAAAATAAAATAGTTTAACGTGTAAACACTTTGACTTACCTTGCTTCAGCTCAAGTTTTGACTATTATTTCAATACAAAATTCTACTAAAATTCTCAAGTTTTGACTATTATTTCAATACAAAATTCTACTAAAATTCTCAAGTTTTGACTATTATTTCAATACAAAATTCTACTAAAATTCTCAAGTTTTGACTATTATTTCAATACAAAATTCTACTAAAATTCTCAAGTTTTGACTATTATTTCAATACAAAATTCTACTAAAATTCTCAAGTTTTGACTATTATTTCAATACAAAATTCTACTAAAATTCTCAAGTTTTGACTATTATTTCAATACAAAATTCTACTAAAATTCTCAAGTTTTGACTATTATTTCAATACAAAATTCTACTAAAATTCTCAAGTTTTGACTATTATTTCAATACAAAATTCTACTAAAATTCTCAAGTTTTGACTATTATTTCAATNAAAAAAAAGGAGATACATCCAATTTAAAAAAGAAAAAAATCCAAAAAAAAAAAAAAAAAAAAAAAAAAAGAATAATAATACAATTAACATTCTAAATTAATAAACAATTGAGAGGCCAGATCGGATGAATTGGACCCGCCAAGATGAGGTGCCGAGAAAATACGACATGTTCCTCTCCAACTCGACGACGTTCACAATTCTGATGTTCAACTACGTCGCCCTCGGCGGTACGATGGGCTGTGTGGGCTGTCTGGGTAATGCGGTCAACGCTTACGTCTTCGTTAAGATGGGTATCCGAGACACAGTCAACATCAGCCTGCTCGGTCTCGCCATCAGCGACTTCCTCGCGCTGCTCTTCCTCCTGTCCGAGAGCGTCTGCCTGAACCCCATGTTCCAGGACACCGGCGTCCCAGTGGTTCTCACGGAGATAGAATACGTCGTCGGGGGCTGGCCCCACGTCTGCTTCACCCGCGTGACCAGCTGGATCACGGCGTTCGTGACGTTCGAGCGCTGCCTGTGCATTGCGTGTCCCCTGAAGGTGAAGCGCTACGTCACGCCGACGCGAGCCAAGCTCTTCATCTGCGCGATGTTCCTCCTCGTGCTGGCCTCGGCTGCGCCCGAGTTCTTCGTCAACCAGTTCACGTGGAAGTTCTATCCCGAGAGAAACCGGACCATGCTCGGGTTGCGGTTCATCGAGGACAGGACCAGGTTTGAGATAGTCACCCTGGTCCTCAACAACGTCATAATGCAGTACTTCGCTTTCCTCGCCGTAATCGTATTCACCATCACCTTGGCCGCCGAACTCAACCAGAAAAGTAAGTGGCGCAGCTCCGTGGTAAAGGCGGACAACCCTGACGATATTCCCAGGAAGGACAAGAAGGTTGTCAAGCTGATTACCCTGATCTCCACGACGTTTATACTGAGTTACCTCCCTTCTAGCATTCTGTTTCTGGCGATGGCCGTCGAGCACGAGTTCCACCCAGACGGCTACTACAACATATTCTACGTCACGTGGTCGTTCGCCTACGTCATGGAGGGACTGAACGCGTCGCTGAATATTTTTGTTTATTTTACCATGAGCTCGCGGTTTCGTGGAATCGTCTATAAGACATTTCTTTAAATTGTGGTATATAAACGAATTGTTTGCTCAAAAAAGCAAAATGTAAAAAAAAATCCTTTATTTAACTTAGCTTTTTTTGTGTTTGTTTGAGGAGGCAAAATCTTCGGAAATCTAATTGACCCACTTCTTGTCAAACCTATCGAGCTGAAACCTGACACATAGACTCGTTGCCGATGACAACGAATTCTTTATAATTTTTAGCCCCACCACCCACCCCCAAGCCCCATTCATCAGTTTTTTTTCTGTTTTTAAAGGGCAGGCATTTGTCCAAACGGTCATCCTAACATCCCTGCAACCTAAGATATAGACTCGTTGCTAATGACAACACATCTGTTCAAATTTTCAGCTCCACGACCAAACCACCAGTTTTTCTTGTATTTAAAGGATGTTGTGTGTGACGTTCATGATTCGAACAATGGGTGCGTGTTTTGGTGTGGATATTATTTCTGTAACTGTTGCTATGTGCTTTTGTATTTGTGACACGTTTGGGTTTAAGTCTATCTTTAGTCTGTCGGGCTTTGCATGCACTAAGTATTATGAAAATACCATCCCATAACAACGATCAGTTGATACAATCACATACACGACAGCTCACGTACAATGAAATAAATGCAAACACAAAAATGCTCACCAACGGTGAAGACCAAAAGACTCTGTTTTTAAGAGGTGTTTTATTTCCTTTTCGGTTACTGGTCAAACATTTGAATAAATAAATAATTTATTTTTAAACAAAATTTAAATCGTTTAATTCTTTCGTTGTATCCGTATGGATTTTTTTTTTTTACGAAGTGAAATTTGTTCGAATGGAAGTTTGCTAGAAATTAAATTTGGTTAACGGAAATTTATTTTAATTTAGGGAGGTAGAAATGGGGAAAGCGGAAATTTCTTTTAATTTAGAGAGGTAGAAATGGGGGAAAACGTTAACTTGAAATAAAAAATTTTGATGGCCTCAGCCCCTCCACCCTTATTTAATTTCGAATCAACTTCCATCAGTGCTTCCAGTAGTGTCACAAGCTGCCCTGGTGACTGCAAGGGTAGAGAGATGCAGATCAATGTCCCTCTTTTAATATACGGCATTGCCAAGCGGTGAATCTTAATTGAAGGTAACCCCGGGGCCGGGCGGGGGGGGGGGGTGATGTCCGACAATGGCCCCTCCCCCAACTCACACATCTCTTACATAATTTTTTACAATAAACTTCATCAAAATAATTTTTCCTTAATATGATTTTCTAACATCTGTTATTGGATCATATCCAAAAATAAGAACGAAGAGAAATGGCTCAGTTATTAAAAGCTCGACTTTTCCAGTCTTTCTATTATCTGAATGAATGAATCATTTTGAATGGTTCTAAAAAAAATCTTTTATCGATGCAGTCTTTCTTTAAACGAAACCATAGCAGGAGCAGTGAATCGATTCTGGGATACAAAGTTGACCTTAACCATGTCCTTGACGGATTGAACGTCCCACTCACAAGAGGGAAATTCCCTGGAATGGGAAAAGTCACCAAAACTTTCAGAGATATAATCAGTGGTTGGATACGCCTCTACTTTCCAAGATTGCGGGGCGACGAAAGCTGAAAATAAACACCATCAAGATAGCGCCCACCTCAGCAGTGCCGCCTGGGACAGTGTTGTCCCCATTCCCCGTTTGATCACCGGTTGCCGTGATAGGAGCCGAAAAAAGGGGTTAGCAGAAAATAAAACAGTAGCATACGACAAAGACGAGATGAGCGGTATAAGGAGACGAGATGAGCGGTATTAGGAGACGAGATGAGCGGTATAAGGAGACAAGATGAGCGGTATTAGGAGATGAGATGAGACGAGATGAGCGGTATTAGGAGACGAGATGAGCGGTATTAGGAGACGAGATGAGCGGTATTAGGAGACGAGATGAGCGGTATAAGGAGACGACATCGCGTGATGCTCAAACGAGGGACCCCCTCTCCCCTCTCCTCATTCCGGATTCACATGGGTGTATGGAGTCCCACCCCCAAAACTCATACCTGTATCCTCCCCACGGGGTTATGAAATAGGAGCATCAAGATCAAATCTGCTTTATGAGAGAAGTGGGAGAGCTACTCTTCTAAAAATGTCCTAGACATTAGAAACTCGTACGATTGCAGCGTCGCTTTGGAATTAAAAAAAAAAAATTAGGTTTACTTTGCCCTGGTACTGAAAGTACTATTTTAAACGGCCCATGTTCTATCTCTGGATTTAAACTAAAAAATTGTTTACCCATTCATTAAAAAATTTGCTGTTGTTGTTATTGCTCTAGCCAAACCCCTTTTCTGCACCATCATGCACATTCCTTGAAAGCTGTCTGCACGGGGAAATTAAAAAATTTGGAACATGCTTCATGAGGAAATGAAATTAAATATGACTTTCAATTGCAATTATCAGATTTATAATGCATGGGTCTCTGCTGAGTAGTTTGAGAAACAAGATCATTATCGTAACATTAAATGGAAGAAGAAGGATCAGGTATGATTATGGTTGATAGCGGATCTCATCAAGTGATATTTCAGCAATTTGTTTTATAGAGACTTAAAACCTTTAGAGAGGCTGCAATTTAAAACATGGTCTCAGATGGCCCAACCAATTTACAGCAAAAATTATTTTTTTTAAAATACAAAAAAAATGAACAATAAAATCAAAGGAACACTATTTTACCATCAAATTGTCAAAATCACAATTTTTATTCATGGGGGGGTGGTTGCGAAACTATGGCAAGCAAGCCTCAGCAGCACGTGAGTCTTAGCAGCACGCGGCCTCGGCAGCACGCGACCTCAGCAGCACGCTGCCTCGGCAGCACGCGACATCAGCAACAAGCTGCCTCGGCAGCACGCGACATCAGCAGCACGCGGCCTCGGCAGCACGCGACATCAGCAGCAAGCGGCCTCAGCAACACGCGAGCCTCGGCAGCACACGAGTAGGAGTTGATTTTCAGGACTAGAATCTCAAATTTAAGGTTTAAATCCAGTGATTTTGAAGCGATCGAGCCAAAATTATGGAACAGTTTGCCTCAATCTTTGAGGGGCATTGTAAATGATAAGAAAATCATTTAGGAAACAATTAAAAACTTTTTTTTTTTTGTTTAAATAGATTTCGGAGGACGAGAGCGCAGTGAGCATGCTAAAGGGGCATGGATACCAGAGCATTATAAACATCAAATTAAAAAAAATCAAATCAAACCTTTTCATAAATAAGTGTTCTTTATTTTGTATGCAGTCTGTGAAACGTGGATTTAACTTGTTTTTGCCTTCACTGGTCTATCGGATACCCTTGACTTAAGTCATTGGACTGTTATTTATTCGTTGTTTTTTTTTGTTTTTTTTTTTTAAATTGTTGTATTTCAAACGTTTAGGCGCACAGTAAACAAGGAGACAAATATTCAAAGATATATTACTCCAATAAGCTTAGTTCGTTTTGTTCAAATTGTTAACGTATAGTTTGTATGCCTACCCATTAAGGAAGTGCCAGCTTAGTTCGTTTTGTTCAAATTGTTAACGTATAGTTTGTATGCCTATCCATTAAGGAAGTGCCAGTGAGGCAAGTAAAGATCCCGGCACCGCAGAGCGCGACGGAAAAAATGGTAAAAGTCTTGCACAACCTGATGACGTCGACGTCGATGGACGACACGGTGCACCGGAAGGGACAGCAGCCTCTGGACCACATCATGAGGTCACGATCATAATCACGGAAGCCGAGGATGCTGTTGAAGATGATTCGTTGTAACATTCGGGGGAGAAAATATCATGTACATGGAATTCATTACAGACCGGAGATGACGTCACACTTTGAGAGTTTGGCTACCGATAAAATCAGTCACAACTGTAGCTGATACAAGGAATATCTGTTTGCTGGTTGTTGTTTTTTTTTTTTAAAGAATCCACACAAAGTGTTGAACACTATAACATGAACGCGATACCAAAATTAGCAGTTGAAGCGACTTACAATAAGAAATGGATTTCATCAATACATAGGCGTCTGGCGTACACTATAGAAACAGAAGCATCCGTGTGTGTATCTCAGTAGTTTCTTAAAGAAAACGATAAACAGAAATGTTTATCTCTGTGTGATGTATGACCAGCTTCATTTAAAAAAAAATAATAACAGAAAGTCAATGTAGGTAAAAGCATGATAGTGATATAGGGCAATAGCCGAAGAAGTAGAGAATAGAAGCAGGTTGCTATATGTTGTATAAGGGCTCGTCGTGGGGGGGTAGGGGGGATTTTACGTGGAGGTTGCAAGGGTGAGGAGGGGGGCTAATAAAATTTTGTGTCAAACTTTAAAAAAAAAAAAAAGTGTGATTTGGCAGAAAATAAACTTTCGTCTTTATAATACCATTTATTTCAATGAGAGGAAAACAAATAATCCTCACATGCTTGTTTAGGTTTTTTTATGCATAGATATTTATATATGTTTTTGTATTTTTCTGATTTTTCGGGTATTCGAATATCCTCTAATAGAATTAATTTGCAGCTTACGGGCGTGATCACAATAAATGGCTGCTATAAAAGTGAGAGGAGCTAAGACAGAGAAAGAGTACGAACAAATGAGAGTGGTGGGAAAGAATGAGAGACAGAAAGAAAGAAATGAAGAGAGGGAGGAGTAAGAAGGAGGGGAGAGATACAGAGAGATAGAGAGAAATGGAGTGAAAAAGAAAGAGAAGAAGAGAGAAAGAGAAAGAGAAAGAAAGAGGGGGAGAGATAGAATGAGAGAGAGAGAGAGAAAGAGGGGGAGAGATAGAGAGAGAGAGAGAGAAAGAGGGGGAGAGATAGAGAGAGAGAGAGAGAGAGAAAGAGGGGGAGAGATAGAGAGAGAGAGAAAGAGGGGGAGAGATAGAGAGAGAGAGAGAGAGAAAGAGGGGGAGAGATAGAGAGAGAGAGAGAGAGAAAGAGGAGAGACACACGAAAGGAATTAAAGAATCAGAATTCTATCTTCTCCTTTCTCTTTGAAAACGATGGGACACGATGCATATTTCTCAAGCCAAAGTGAAC